CAATCCAGCGAGATTACACTGGGGGAAAAAAGTCTAGGCCAGAATTAAAATTTAAAACTAGGGTATTAATGCGTAGTCTAGAATGCAGAATGCAGGTGTAAGTAAAGCCCTATCTTCTGGAATGTCTGCTTCCAGCTGCCCTCCTGGGCCACTCAGTAAGGCTGCGTCAGAGAACAGCGTGGGGACCCCACACCAATTGTGAAGCGTCTCTGATGATGGCACGGAGGTTGTGTGTGCTCCTGTAGACCACATGGTGGTCCAGCTGGGCCTCGAGTTTGCTGTCTGTAAAATGGGGCAGCTCGTCCATTGCCTCTCATTCTACTGGCCTTTCTCCTCTCCAGCCCCCCTCCAGGTGCATGAGGTCGAGCGGTGTGGCAGTCCACTACGCGGGATGGGAGTTCTCACGCTTCAGGTCCTCCGGTGTCTCCCCCACTTTGGAAAAGCTTTCCTTTCCATATATAATGGGTGAATTCCCTGTTTCGGTGTTGAACCATTGCCCGGGATGCTATATAGAGAGTGGCTAATCCTTAGGGGAACGTCTCCGGGAGCCTCTGAGCCTGAAGCCTTTTCCAGTTATGTGATCCGGGCTGCTAAGAACCATTTCTTAGACTGACCTTTGCACTGCAGCCCACGGAGCTGCATACATAAGTGGTTGCATAATAAATATTATTCTGAACCTCACTCTCAGGCCGAAAAAAAAATGCAGCCTGGTATTTTTGTTCCGAGGGCATATTCCATCTCTAGCTGGAGTTCTACATCTGGAATGTTCTCCTGCGGATTGCTTCTGTCACCTATAAGAGAACATATGGGAAGAACTGGGTAATAACGTGACGATGCTCTCGTCCTACTGAGCGTAGGGGGTGCCACGTGAGCACTTCCCCGAGCCGGGGGTAGGAGGGGCGGGAAGTGGGAGCAGCTGAGAGCTGACTCCGTGTGCTCCTGCTGTGTGCCTGGCACTGCGTGTATGTGCGGCTTCTGGAATCTGGCTGCCCGCTGGAGGCAGGTGCTGTTTGTCCGCGGTTTACAGATGAGCCTTGCAGCCACAGAGAGCTTAAGTAACTTGTCTGGGGCTGCACAGCTAAGTGGTAGACCTGGAATTCAGTCTGGCGATTAGACTTTGGAGCCTGAATTCTTGAACCGCCTTGGCTGGGAATGTAACCGCCAAGGAATCGAGGCTTTCCTCAGCCTACAGTCTTTTCTGAGCCCCACCCCATCAGCTTGCTGATCTCCTTCCCTGGGCTTCCATTTCAAGGTGTGGAGTGTCAGCATGTGCGTCAGCAAATCGGACCCGGACCCGTGGATTTCTTCATCTTATTGGCATGTTCGTTGGCAGCATTGAGATCAATAACGGAATGGGACAAAACATAGCCTTGAATCCAAGTGGCCTCTGCGAGGGTGGACAAACTGACCTTGACTCTAGAGAGATCGGGGCTGTCTCAGGACAGGAAGCCGAGTCCGTCCTTGGAGAAGACTGTCCAGTCGGCCCGCATCTTCTGGGACCTGGTGCAGGGCTGTGTTAGGGACTCTGTGGACCCTGGACGCCTTTGCGTTTGTGGCTTTTCCTCTGTGAGAAAAAGTTCCAAAATCATATTTGGTAACTGCATCTAATAACTGAAAGTATTGTATATTAAGACCTTTTTTTTTTTTTTTAATGTAAAAGCTTATTTTTCCTTTTGATTTTAAAGTGGATACATTTCCTAGGCCCCTGGATGCCTGTGCGTGTTGCACCTAATGACGGGCCAGCCCTGCCTAGAGCCGCTAGGCCTGATGCGTACTTACCTATACGCCTCTCTTTCATCTAGCCTGTTTCTTTTTCTTTAAGTGAGGCTGGTAACTTTTTTTTTTAAGTTTATTTATTTATTTTTGAGAGAGAGAGAGAGAGAGAGAGAGAGAGAAAATAAGCCGGGGAGGGACAGAGAGAGAGAGGAGAGAGGGAGACACAGAATCCGAAGCAGGCTCCAGGCTCTGAGCTGTCCGCGCAGAGCCCCTTGTGGGGCTTGAACCCACGAACCGTGAGATCATGACTTGAGCCGAAGTTGGACGCTTAACCGACTGAGCCCCCCAGGCGCCCCCATCTAACATGTTTCCACAGTTTGTTGTGAGCAGTAAAGGTGGGCTGACCTCTGAGACTCAGCCAGGGGATGCTGCTTTGGCCCCTCTCAGTGGTCTGAGGGCGGGGAGAGCTCGGGGAAGGGGAACCAGCAGCCTGGGAGTCCTCTGGATGCCCAGAGAAGACCCCCCCTCTGTCGGAAGGGAGACTAGTGGGCCAGAAGTGTGTTGGAGATGGGAGAGTGGCGGATGGTCTTAGCTGACGGAGGGGAATGTGGTAGAACTCAGATCAACCTTACGTGGGGCCTGGGGTCATCGGTGCTGGGCTGGGCAACTTCCAGGCCTCTGGATAAAGCCTAACTTCCAAACGGCGGTTTTCAGTGGGGGGGCGCTTTCGCCTCCCGGGGCCTTTTGGCAATTTGTGGAGGTATCTTTGCCATCTGGTAGGGAGGGGCCCAGGATGCTGCTTGGCATCCTGTAATGCACAGAACAGCTCCCCAGTGAATCCTCTGGTCCCAGTGTCGGTGGTGCCGGGTCGGGAATCAGGGTCGGTGATGAAAATTTGGGGTGAGTTGATGGGTCCACTCGTCCATGACGGGACAGGACTCCCACCCAGCTCGATGGTCAACGCTTCAAATAGCTCTTCCCCTGCAGGTGGTGTTGGGGCTTCTGGAACAGGATTTAATCCGTGGTCAGTTTACTTAGGGTAATACCCAGGCTACCCAGACATTAATCCCATCCCCTTTTGGGTGTCTCAAGGTCATTGTCATTAGTCAAGACAACTCTTGTTTTGGGCTACAGAATGTGGAAGTCCTCAGGGGTCATCGATGGGTATGGAGTTGTAAGCTCTGCACTAAATATCCCCAAAGTTCTTATGTTGGGTTCTTTTTAGCGTCCTTGTTTCTCCCTGCCATTTGATGCTTCTTGCCACTATCCACGTGCCTTTTTTCTTTCTCCTTTTAATTTTGTTGATTTTATTCTGTGGTGGCCTTGGGAACCAGACATCCAGAAACCGGGCTTGCTGGAGCCATGCTGCTGTGAACCGTCTGTGTTCTTCCTGTGCCGAATGTCCCCGCGCTTTGTGAGGAAAGCGCTAGCATTTGACCACGCATGGGTACAGTGACAGCTGTTCTGATGTTCGGGGGCTTCTGTTCCTCTGCTTCCTGGTCCTCGGTCGGGTTCCACATTGCCGAGATAACAGATGACTGAGGCCGTCTTCATCACTGTCAGAGTAATAACTATCACAAGTGGGGCCTGGGTTTCTGTGTTCCAGGCCTTATCTTAACTGCTTGGCCTCTAACATGCTCTCAACAGTCTTGCGAGGTGGGAGCTGTTAGGATCCGACAATTGAGTTAAGAAAGCGGAGGCGCAGAGAGGTTATGTGTGCAGGAGAAATACAGCTGGCATAAAAAAATGGGGGAGCTGGGATTCGACCCTACCAAGTAGTGCTCCCTAGTCTGGAGATAATGTGCAGGGTTTCTGAAGGAAACCGCTGTAGCTGGTGGGGACACCTGGGCCAGGTGGCAGGTGCCTGGTCTCCTGGAGCCTTCTGGAGCATGCTCCGTGAGAGCAGGTGCCAGTTCCCCATGGCACTCATGAGTGTCCCCATCCCTTAGTTGGCAAGTGAGAGTGAATGCCACAGCTTTCGCACAGGGCAGGGTCTGCTCTTTCTACCGTGAACACTGGTCAGGACAGGGGCCATCTGAGCCCGCCACGCTGAATTCTGAGAGGACAACCAGGTTCTAAGTGCCTCACCTGAAACTCTTGGGTAGAAATATTTTAGGAGCCATGCAGTCATGTTATCAGGGCTGTAAGTTTTTGAAGGCACGAAAAAGGGGAAGAAAAAATGGGCCAAATTGGTTTAGAAACATCCCCTCCACATCTGTAGGTCTTGTTGGGACCTGAAGGGGGACCACTCAGGGGGCATGGTCTGAGACCCTGTTTGCTCTGCCTTGTGTGCAAGGGGCTGTTTGAGTCCCAGCCGTCCTAGGGCCCTTGGGGATTTGGCCCCCTTGTTATGACTCTTCCGTACCATCCTGCTCCTCTGGCCTGGCCGTTGGGTGTATACACCTGAGCCAGCGTGAGACTGGGGTTGCCGGGGGCTGTTCTCAAGGCTCCCTCCACCCTGAGCTATGCACTTAGTAGGAGCCTTTCCCTGTTGTTGACTGGTGGTTGAAGAAAGTTGAAAGAGACTTAACATGCTCCTTGGACAAGCATCTGGGTGAGGCTACGTGCCTTGTGATAAGCCAAAACTACAGAGCTGGACGGGTTCCTGTGCCTGGGGCTGGCGGTGGCGTGTGTGGACAGACATGGGAACAGTCCAGGGCCGCCGGGACTGTGCTGGAGCGGTCGTGGGACTGAGTCATGGGGGCACGTGAGAAGGGGGCCGTTGGGCAAATGAAGAGTAGCAGCAGGGGTGATGGAAACCGTGGGTTCTGGTGGTGATTCCCCACCTTCTCCCTTGCCAGACATGGCATGTGCCCTTTTAGGTCACGGATGATGAAGATCTTAAACTGCAGGTTATGGCAGGTGAATCTGGGAGGTCTTTCTGGAGGAGAATGATGGATCCAGAAGGACTCAATCCCATTCCATGGTGAAAGCCTTGCAGACACGTTCATCCTTCTGTGCTCCTTTGCTGTGCCTTGGATGGAGGCAGAACCGGCCAGACCTCCCAGGCATTTTGCTGGGGTCGGACGGCCTGCGTTCAGATCCCGGATTTGTGGTCTTGGTCATCCTCATGCGCCTTGACATGTCTGTCTGCCAAAGTTGGGGTAATGCCCCCACCCCGCCCAAGAGTTGCTGCGAAACTGAAATTGACAGTCCATGTAAATTGCTTAGCTCAACTGCATGGATATCAGTCCTCTCCATCTCCAGGGGTTCAGACAGTTGCTGGGGGGCCCGCCGCTCTAGAAACAGCACCCTGAGCTGGTCTTCCCTTCCTCTCTCTGCAGACAACGGAGATGAGCACGCTGAGGGAGGTCTGGTTGAGAACCACGTGGACGGGACCGTGAACCTGTTGGGCGGTGGAGGCAGTGCTGGTAGGAAGCCCCTCAAGTCAGGCATGAAGGAGCTGGCCGTGTTCCGGGAGAAGGTCACCGAGCAGCACCGGCAGATGGGGAAGGGTGGCAAACATCACCTTGGCCTGGATGAGCCCAAGAAGCTGCGGCCACCACCCGGCAGGGTCAGAGGGGCCGGGTCTGGCTGGAGGGGCGGGAGGACATGTAAAAGGGGTCTCGCGGTGGGGGAGGGCACCCAGTACCGTCCGAGTCCTGTGTTGCCGAAGGCAAAGCACTTTCCTTTCTGGTTCTGCCACTAACATATTCAGTGACCTTCAGACTGATCACGGTCTCCTTTGGGGGCCTCAGTATTTCTGGCTGTGCAAGGGACTGGGCATACGGTTTCTTGAAGTCCCTTCCTTCTGAAACCTCCACGCTTCTGCTTGGCAAGGAAGTGGATGCTAGAGATGAGGCCGGACCTCCTTAGACTTGCTCAGTCTCGCTGGGATATGCCCTTCCCTCTCCCCAGCTCAGCTCTGTTGTCTTGGGTCTCGGCCTGGCTGGGTTGATGGAAAGAAATGGTGGTTGGCCCACTGGGTTGGAGTAGAGATGCTCTAGAGCCAGCCACTTGAATTCACGTTTTGCAAGTAGGTCCCATTTTGATCCCTGAAAGCCACTGACACAGAACGAGAGAGGGGTGAAAACTCCTATCCACGTGACTTTCTTCAGAGAGTGGAGTGGGGCACAATGACATATCCATGAGGTCGCTGTCGGAAGTCCCTGGTTCCACCAACTTGCTGGGTGACCTTGGGAAAATCCCTTCCCTGTGCATGAACTTCTTTCTGAGGTTGTTCCCAGGACCGGTGTTTTGTGAGCTCAGTCTCACTCCGAGCTCCCTCTTTGCCCCTCTGTGTCTGTCTGTGCCCACAGACCCCCTGCCAGCAGGAATTGGACCAGGTCCTGGAGCGGATCTCCACCATGCACCTTCCAGATGAGCGGGGCCCCCTGGAGCACCTCTACTCCTTGCACATCCCCAACTGTGACAAGCACGGCCTGTATAACCTCAAACAGGTGAGAGAGGATCTCCTTGGCCTTGGGCCCCGGGTGTGCTTGTCCCTGCCCCACCCACCTGTCATCCTCTGAGGTCTGAATGCTGAGGGGGCGTGGGGATGCCAGCTGCCAGGCCTCTGCACGTCCAGACGCAGAGGCTGACTCCACCTACCCAGCCACCTGCCATCAGCACTTGGGGTCCAGGTTGGGAGGGAGCCTCTGGGAAAAGAGATGTCGGGCTACCCTAATGCCTGTCAACTTATTATTGAGCATTAGAGTCGCCTGGCAGTGACTCCTGGGCCTTACCATTCCAGAAAGTTGGGTGGGGACCAAAAACAGTTTTTTTTTTTAATGTTTATTCATTTTTAAGAGAGAGAGAGACAGAGACAGAGACAGAAACAGAAACAGAGCATGAACAGGGGAGGGGTAGAGAGAGAGGGAGACAGAGAATCTGAAGCAGGCTCCAGGCTCTAAGTTGTCAGCACAGAGCCAGACGCGGGGCTTGAACCCCAAGAACCACAAGATCATGCCCTGAGTCAAAGTTGGGTGCTTAATTGACTGAGCCACCCAAGCACGCCAAGGATTTGCATTTCTAATAAACGCTCAGGGATTGCTGATGTTCCGTGAGCTATACTTGCAGAATCACGGATTTAAACCATTGACAAGTAGTCTCTGCTGACCCCTAAGGGGTCTCACTCCCCCACTTTCCTCACAGCCCAGGCAGGCATCCTGCCCCCTCTAAATATCAGTGTAGTATTCAAAGCTATTTGTACACGTGCCCTCGAAATGTCAGCTGACTACTTCATTTGGAGATCAAAAGTGGAAATAGTGATCTCTTCTAATGAAAGACAGGCTGTGGCTGGTCCCTTATGGGTAACTAAAGGGGTTTTCAATGGTAATTAGTTTATGGGTAAGAGCAGGGACCCTGGGACGGGAATGCCTGGGTTCTTATCTCAGCCACGCCTCTTACTAGCTGTGTGACGTTGGGCAAGTTACTTAACCTATCTGTGCTTCCTTCTGATCATCTGTAAAGTGGTGAAATAATGGCACCTAACTCACAAGGTGGATGTGCTGACTCGGTGTGAGGAGTGAGCGACTCCTGATCTGAGGGTCATGAGTACGAGCCCCACGATGGGGTTAGAGATCACTTAAATAAATACGCTTTTAAAAAAAAGCGTTGTAAACTGTAAATGAGCAGTGTGTAGACTGTTCTCACGGTGCAAAGCACCTGCTAGGGGCCTGTGCTAGTGCTGACTTCTACTGTCACGTGCTGTTTGCCTTCACGCTATGACTGAACTCCAGTCCGCTGGGCCCCCACTGGATGGTCCCCCCTCCTGCCGGTGGGCACTGAGTCGTTTCGATGTGGGGCATCCCCCACTAGCCTGGTCCCTGGGCCAGAGCACCAGCATCACGCGGGAGCCAGACAGAGTCTTAGCCCCGCTCCGGGCCCCCTGAAGGGGAATCTGCATTTCAGGGAGGTCCCCTGGCACCCTTCACGGCCGAGAAGACCACCACGCGGCACCCTAGCTTGGGCGCCCCGTAGCTGCTCGGCAAACCTCGGGCTGAGGGAAGCAGGGAAAGCTGGTGGCCTCAGGCCTGTCCTCCATACCCTTCTCTTCTCCCTCCTCAGTGCAAGATGTCTCTGAACGGGCAGCGTGGGGAGTGCTGGTGTGTGAACCCCAACACTGGGAAGCTGATCCAGGGAGCCCCCACCATCCGGGGGGACCCCGAGTGTCATCTCTTCTACAATGAGCAGCAGGAGGCTCGTGGGGTACATACCCAGCGGATGCAGTAAACCACAGCCAGCCGGTGCCTGGCACCCCCCGCTCCCGCCCCCTCTCCAAACACGGGCAGAGAGAGGAGAGCCTTGCGTGGTGGGCGGGGAGGGTTTTCCAGGAGTGTTGACACGTGTATTTATATTTGGAAAGAGACCAGCACCGAGCTCGGCACACCCCCGCCTTCCCCCTCCCCAGATGCCTGCACCACCCCCCCCCCCTTCTCCTGTCCCTGCTGGGGAGGAAGGGGCAGTTGCAGTGGTGGAGCTGGGGTGAAGATTTGGGGGGGGGAAAGAAATTTTTATTTTTGAACCCCCGTGTCTCTTTTGCTTAAGATTAAAGGAAGGAAAAATAAAGTTGTGTGTCTTTTGCCTGAGTCTTTGGGGGGCTTCCCCGGGAAAGCGATCTGGCGCTGGCTGGCCTCGTCTGTCCACCTCTGTCCCCGACTCCTGGGAGTAGGGGCTGGGAGTGAGTGGGACAGGCACAGCCTTGGCTGGGCTGGGAATGAGAAGGATGGGTCAGGAGGCAGGGGAATCTCCTCCCTCAAGTGGCCTGTGGAAACTTAAAGTCTTCAGTCCAGGTGGACCCTTCCAGTGCGGCCACAGGACTCTGGTGTCTCCCCTGGACTGCCAGCTCAGCCTCTGGCCCCCAAGCCGCCCCTGGGTGGGCAGTGAGGGAGGAGCGGTCGAGCGAGTGTCTTTCTCTCTCCCACGTTCAGTCTCACGTTCAGGTGGTGTTGCAGAGGGCGACAGAACAGGGAGACACTGGATCTGAGGCCCTCTGGCCCCTGAAGTAAGGACAGCTCCCTTCTGGGCAGGGGGAGATGACCCCCAGGTCCCCAAGGAAAGGGAGCGGGTTATTGTATGCCAGCGTGTTCACCAAGGTGCTGCCTCTGGGAATTCAGGTGCTGTTCTCCAAGGGGCCCAAGTAACTCTTCGGCTTCCAGAACAGCAGTGTTCACAAGACTACACGTGCACCGATGAGCACCTGTTTCTGAAGCAAAATTCTATGAGAGTTCTACCCACTGTTCTGGGGGCCCCTGACCCCTGGCGAGTTGCAGGGGCCTCTGCGCTTGGCAGTGGGCCACAGGGAAAGGAGTGCCCCCCTCTCTCCCCTCCCTAGCACCGGGCACAGAGCCCCACCTTTCCTGCTAGTCCCTTTTTTTGTGTCTGGAGTCGGACACTTTCCTGCCACAGGAGGTGAGGGAAGGTGGTTTTGTTCGACCATCTCCCTCCTGTCCTTCCTTCTATCGACTCAGGAGAGGCAAAAAGGCACTTGGGGCCTTTAAGGGGGTGAGACTTGCTTCTCCCCTTAGAAGGAAACCAGGTCCCCCAAAGCAGATAAATCCTGGCCAGAGTGCTCTAGGCTGCATCAGGCCAAGGCCAAGGCCTGCAGGCCGTTTGGTCACTTGGCCCATGTGCTCTGCTGCTCCAAAACTGAGTTAATTCTGTCAATCCTCATGAATCTATCAACGAGGAACTATTAGGCCCACTCTACAGATGAAGAAAAAAACCCACAGAGGTGTCCAACCTCCAAGGCCCAGGCTGGGGCTCCAAATTCCAGAGTGCGGAGGCTGCTCAGCTCTGAGTTACGCTGCCCTCTCCGGGCGGAAGCAGGGCGGGGCTGCCTGGAGGGAGCCCAGGGCGCTCTTGGCGCGGGCTGGGTCTGTACCCTGTGGGCCAGCCATCCTGGTTTGGGGTCTGATTTTCCTTCTTCCACGGGTGGGTGCTCTGGCCGCCCACCCCTCGGCTGCAGCTGCTGTCCTGGGATGGGGCAGCGGGTGCTGGCTCTCCCTGCAGGTGCAGGCGGTCTCGACCCAGGCTAACATTCGAATCTACCGGGGCGCTTAAAAAAACATGCATGTCAGCATCCCACCGTCAGAGATTCTGATTTAATTGGCCTGGAGTGGAGCCCCGGTAGGGTTTTCCTTCCTTCCTTCCTTCCTTCCTTCCTTCCTTCCTTCCTTCCTTCCTTCCTCTTTCTTTCTTTCTCTCTTTTTCCATTCTCTCTTTCTTTCTCTTTCTCTTTATTTTTCTTTTTCTCTCTCTTCTTCCTTCCTTCCTTTTTCTTTTCTTTTCTTTTTCCTCTTTTTCCCAGGCAATTCTAATGAAGAGCTGGGCAAAAAGAAAGCTGGAGTCAGGACACCTGGGTTTGAATCCTGTCCCACCACTTACTGTTTTATTGCCCTGGAGCTACTCGCCTCCTCTGAGACTCAAGTTTTCTGCATCTCATGGGGATGATCTCAGCCTCAAATAACTGGGTGGTAGCAATGTGAGACCATGGATGTGAAAACCATATAAATTGGGGTGGATTATGAAGGGGCCATCGCTGGAGTTAACGCTCACGCCAGACCCCCTCCCCTGCCCCCGCCCCCGCCATACCCCAAGGCTGCCGACTCGGGCCCTTTCTGTAGTATTTTTGCAGAGTGCTCATTTCCACGTCACTTGCTCACAGCCTCCCTGTGCTCTAAACCCTCTGAAGAGGATTTTATGGGTGAGCCACACCCCCACTGTGGCTCTAGCTACAGGAACCCCCTGATGGATGGATGGATAGTATGCCCTAGAAACCTTTGCTGAGGGAAAGTATAATTGCTCCCAAGTGGGAAGATGGCTGGGAGGAGTTGGGGGGGGGAGGGATCTTGAGGATTGCAAGCTGGTTGCTCACCTCCTGGAACTCCTGGGCTGTTGACAAACACTGGGGCTATACTGCCACCATGGGGGCAGCACAGGAAACTGCTGCTGGGTCTCGGAGGGTGATTTTGCTTAAGCCGTGGTCCCAGGAGTCCATTTGGGAGCTTGGGTGCTTGTTAACCTCGCAGAAACAGGGGACCCATTGTCGAAGACCGCCTGAGCTAGAAGCCTGGGAAGGGATCTGGGAATCTGCATTGAAACACGCCCCCTGGGCGATTCTAATTCATAGAGTCACCTAGTTTCTCGGTGACCTAATTTGTACAATTTGGGGCAGATTCAGAGCCCCTGGTTTAGAAATTATTAAGAATTTCAAGGGGCGCCTGGGTGGCTCAGTTGGTTAAGCGTCTGCCTTGGGCTCGGGTCATGATCTCGCGGTTCGTGAGTTCGAGCCCTGCGTCGGATTCTCTGTTGTCAACACAGAGCCCGCTTTTCGGATCCTCTGTCTCCCTCTCTCTCTGCCCCTCCCCTGCATGTTCTCTCTCTCCCTCTCTGTCTCTCTGAAAAATAAACATTTGAAAAAACAGAATTTCAAGACAGTTATGGCAGAGGATTAAGCCAGGCCCAGGCCCTGTGTGACCACACAGCCTTCGTGCCTGGGAAGCTGGCCTTGTTGTTAAGCCCTCTGAAATTGGACGGCCACTGCTGTAGAGACTGGACCGGCTCCATAGGATGTGGTGGGTGAGAGCGCCCCCGGGGGGTGAGGCAGTTTTTGAACGGAATTTGGACTCTACCACTTATGACATACGGGACTTTGGACACATTCCTAACCTCTGAGCTTTATTTATTTCCCTTTTAAATACTGGGATGATTTCTTTTTCAAAGAATTGCTTTGAGAATATAAAATCATTTCTGTCGTCTAGGAAGTGCGGCTGACGTGTAGTTAGTGCTGCATCCTGGGCTCAGGGTTAGGGTTCTCGGAGGTGAAGATGAGACAGATTACGGCCCCTGTCCCTAAGGGTTGACACTGCAGTGGATGGAAACAACCACAGGAGTCTGTGACGTCCATGGGAGGGACAGAGGTGTGCCCGAGTGCACTTGGGAGGAATGTATGTCCCACAGGAACAGTTGTAAGGAGGAGGTAGGAGTTTCAGAGGAAGATGTGGTGTGTGTGTGTGTGGGGGGTGTTCAGCCGAGAGAACAGCATGAGCTACATGGAGGCTTGAGGCTCCCTGTGGTCAAGAGAGGGTGTAGATACAGGAGCAGCTGGGGAGGAAGTCAGAGGAGAGCTCGTCAGGAAGGATTTGGGGGGTCTTGCTGAGGGATTTCAGCTTTGGACTGAAAGGGAAGCGTTTAAGCAGAGGACGGGCATGACTGAATGTGTGATTTTTTTTTTTTAATTTTTTATTTGAGAGAGAGACAGAGAAGAGAGTGCAGGGGAGAGGGGCAGAGGGAGAGAGAGAGAGAGAGTCTCAAGCAGGCTCAGGGTGGAGCTCGACGTGGGGCTTGATCTCATGAACTTGGGCTCATAACCTGAGCCGAAATCAAGAGTCAGATGCTCAACCGACTGAGCCACCCAGACGCCCCAGATTTGAGAGTTTTCGATGAGGTAGCCAATTCCTGGGACGTGGGGACGTAGGAGGTGAATGAGGAGTCAGCAATGACACTGGGGGTCAGGCTAAGGCAACTGGGTAGATGGCGGTACCATTCTCTGGGACAGCAGCCGGAAAGGGAGGAAGGATTTGGGGAGGAGGAGAGGGTGGTTTAGGAGGGAACGTGATGAGTTCAAATGGCGTTCTTGTTCTTGAACTTGCAGTGTGTAAGGTGTAAGATAAAATAAGATGGACAAGGTACCTGAGCGTACAGGATGAATTCGATTTTGGGCACACTGTATTGGAGCTGCCCGGAGTGCCAAGAAGACTCTCTGGACTTTCCCATCACCCTCATCTTGACATCCAATTCATGAACAAGACCCATTGGGTTCTATCCACAAGACACTGTTCATATGTGCCCCTTTTGCTCCTTCTCCACCGTCACCTCCACGGCAGGAGAGGGGTGGTTAATGGCAAAGGGTGGGAGCCGCAGGTGTGCAGGGCACAGGAAGGCGGCTGTCCTTTGGAAGCAAGAAGAAGGGTTCAGGAGGGAGGGGAATGGGCCGGTGGCTTTCTGGCTAACTCCACGGGGGGTTGGATGCGAAGGTAGGACATTCTCACAGGCTGGCCTTGCTTTTCTCTGATGGGGAGCAGGGGGTACGGAGAGGAGCACGAAAGGGTGTTGTAGACACGGGGGAGCGTGGGAGGGAGGCAAGGCTAGCTAGCAGGATTTGGAGCCTGGGGATTCTGTGGTGATGCCAGCCCACACCGCGGAGGGACCTTCTCCAGCAGGGCTCAGCGGGGCTGAACGGGAGTGCCACTGTTGGCTGGTGAGGCTTCTCCAGGGCTGAGGTGCTGCAGGGCAGGTGGGACCCAGAAAAGTAGAGGTAACAGTGGACCCGTGGGTCTAGTCTCCTCAGGGAAGGAGGCAAAGCCGGAGAGGCTCGACGGCTTGGAAAATAGAATGGGGAGACCAAAGACTCACTCTCCCCCGAGTAAGATGCCGGCCTTGCAGCCCCCACCTGTTTGCTCCCTGAGATACAGAGTACGAGTGGAGTGGGGAGCGGGGTGTTGGGATTCTCCGTGTGGAGCCCTTCGGGGTCCTGAGGCTCAGAGCGTGCCTTCTGAGCTTTGAGTGTTTAGAGGCGAGACTGTTGAAGTCGACAGCACAGCGAGCAGTGTCTCTGGAAGTGTGGCCATGGACCAGCGCTGCCGGCTGGCAGTGAGGGAGGCGCCAGCCCAGTCCTACTGGGTCACAAGGACCCCGTGAGTGTCTGATCACTGGGGTGCTGTGGGGGTTGTCCCGATGACCCCTGAATCGTGCAGGGCGGGGTGGGGCGGGGCCAGGACTGGAGCAGCGGGGAGCCAGAATCCTAGGTGACCTCATGGGTGAGCAGGAAGTTCGCAGAGGAGGGTTGTCAGGGCAGGGGGGAGGCCCACGGGCAGCAGCGGAGCCTGGTAGAGGGAGGAGCAGTGGGGAGAAGACTCCGGGTTCACATACCCCCACCCCCAGCAGCATGGGGGGTGACAGGAGGGTGAGCGGCTGCCAATGGAGACGCCAGGAGACAGTCCCAGGGCAGGGGTACCATGTGGCTGGACCAGCAGAGCCTTCCCAAGCACTACTCTCCCTGGGCTCCCTCATCAACCCCCCTGCAAAGGGAGGTGAATAGATACCCCATCGCTCTCTGTACCTCCTTGTGCATCTAGGCAGAGGCAAGGCCGAGGGGCCTGCTCTATCTTTGCCTTTGCTGCTGGGCGCTGTCTGAATGACCACATGTCTGAAGGGTCCCAGGGAAGAGAGTTTCAGCGACCTTCAGGATGCATGGCCAGTGACAGGCCAACCTCTTCACCAGGCAGGATGCTCCTAATCACTCCATCGGCCACATGACTCGGATGGGGCGGAGGTACCGGGGTTTGGGCTGGGCAGAGTGGGGATGCCACCAACTCTGTCTATGTGCTGTGCCCGAGGACTGGGAAGCCATCGGGCGCCGTCAGTGGGATGCACGAAGGGCAGTAAGCTCCTGTGCACCTCACACATGAAGGGGGGGCATGGATATTAGGAAGAAGGGACCCAGGAGGAAGGAAAGACAGATAGTGGGGCAATGTAGGAATTGTGCTCTTTCAACGGCTGTAAGGTTAAAATCTGAGTCATTAGCCATTTTATGGCTTTCTTCTTCACTGGGCAGAGGCAGCTGGGGGCTGGGCAGGAGCAGGAGGTAGGATTCACGTTGGCCAGAGGTTCCCAGGAGTTAAGAGCTTATACGAGGCACCAGAATCAGCGATTGAGGAACATTCTAGAAATGCCTTCCTGAAAATCCTCTCCAAGGAAAAGGGACCCATCATTTGCTAAAGGGTAGATTAAGGCCACTTTACGTAATAGCAGGGGCTGAGATTCAATGATGATAATAACGGTAAAAAACAGTAGCTGAGCGCACATTGCCTAATTGCTCTAAGCACGTTGTGTCCGTTAACTCACTGGAATGTTTTGAACGGATGGAGAAGGGGGCGCTCAGGTTTGGATGGGAGGCTGGGTCTGGGGGCTCCTCTGTGGAGGGAGCAGGCCCGTCAGCCTTTCCTCTGCCTGGCCCTTTCTCCTTGCCCTCTGGAATGTGGCCTGAGGGGACCCCTGTGTGCCTCTCACCCTTCACCTGCCTCCCTGGGCCCTCGGAGGACGCTGACGCAGGCTAACTGAATGCATAACTTTATTAAATAAATGCTTTGTCATGACAAAGACAAAGATCAAGGAGTAACATAAATTATAAGTTGAATAAATAGTATACAGCAATCTTCACTTTTTTAATAAAACGTGAGATCCTCTGGCTTTTTGTTTTTGTTTTTGTTTGTTTTATTTCCTCAGGTACAAAATGCTTAAACAGGAGGCGAGCCCCTCAGCCTGGTTTTATTTGCCGATTTATTTTTTCATCCTTTTCACCAGTAAAGATTATGAGCATTTATTTAAAAAAAAAAAGTTGAAAACAAAACAAGGGGAGAGAGAGAGTTATGGTATGTACGTACGTAAAACTACAAAGAGCTACAGTAATATGTGCTGTGGTTATTGCTGTCTTAAAAGAAGAAAAAAAAACCGGTAGGCAACTCGGAATCTGAAGGAATCTTGTCTGACAACTGTCTATCCGTGTGGGCTACTATGCGGTGGTGGTGGTGGTGGTGGTGGTGGTGGGAGATTGGGGACTCAGGCTGGTGGCCGGGGACCAGGGAGTGGGGGGGGGGGGACGGGCACGGGTGGCTGGTGCTCCCCACCTTCCCTTCCCCCATTGGAGAGGGGGCCAGAGTCTGTGAAAATGGCTAACCTATATACTCCATTAGAAAACCAAGAAAGTATGTTTAAAAAAAGAAACAAAAACCTAGGAGGAAAAAAAAAAGTGGAGAAAAGTGCAAAAATAAGTCTTGCACTTAGTGGTTTTAAAAATAAAGACAGTACAACACCCAGGTGGCCGGCTGGCAGGTCCCCGTCCCCTCGTGCCACCACTTCTCCAAACCCAGCCTCCTTTCTCTCAGAAGCCAAAAATGTCCTCTTTGAGCCCAAGGATTGCTTCTCCTTGGCCCACTCCCCTCTAGAGTTCCACGGGCACGGCAGCCCTCTCGGGGGGCCGAGCAGAGGGAGAGGGGCAGCCGTGGGCCACCTTGGGGGGTTGAGTGGGGTAGCCGTGTGGCTGCCACCAGGCTGGGTGGTGGGAGAGCAGAGGTCAGGCCCCCCTCCCCCAGGGGCGGCTGACCCTGCGGTTACCATGGAGACCAATGAGGTGGTGACAGCAGGGCGGGGGGGGGGGG